ACATTCTCAATACTTAAATTATTACTAATGATAAATTCTAGGAGAGACTCACCTCGTGCATTGCAGCCCATACTCAACCATTTACTGTGGTGCGCATTTGCTTCGCACCCCAGGACCAGGGGCAGTTTGTTCCTCCTGCAGTAGTCTACCAGGCCCTGCCTCAGGGGGCGCAGTTGGCGTGTCTCCTGGCAGATAGGCCGTTGCCAAAACGAAATCCTTACCCTCCTGGTCTCTGACCTATACCGCAACTAGGTCCTGTGTTAGGAATTCTGAAATACATAAGTGATCAATATTTCTTCTAATTGCTGTACAGGCTCGGTGTCTCTCACTGGAGAGATCTCAGATGACCCTGTTGCTGTCCACATTGAGGTCTCTGTGGGCCCATGGCTCCTGTATTAACAGGATGCCGATGTCGCCTGATGCAGGTTTACCTTGGCTACTTCCGTGCTTACGACCACTATAGGATCGGTTCAATGAGGAGCTGGTCCTAATCTGCCCCGTCTCCCGCAGTACCAACAAGGTCTTCAAGTCCCTCCAGGAGCTCCTGCGTAGAGAGTAGTACCCCCTCTTCCGCTTTCGGCTTCACTGCTGGAACTTCCGCTGTAGTATTCGCAGTTGCTACCTGCTCGGCTGGCATGATGCTAGGACGACTAGCCTCCTCGTCCGCCTGCATCTTCTCGCCTTCCTTTCCGGTTATCATCGGTTTGTAGGGCCTAATGAATACTGTACTAAACCGATAGCTCAAACGGTAGCTCTCCTTCCGGATGAATTTGTAGGACTCGTCATCCACGCACAAGTTCAACCTCCATCCGGAACCCTCCATTTTGCTGTCGACCACCCACCAGGCCGAGGTATTGATCCCTCTGTTTTGGTTCCTGACGAGCCCCAAAGCAACCTCGTAGGGTTTCCCCTCTCATCTTGGTAGGAAACCGTCATACAGCTTTACCTCCAGCCTGCAAATCATTCAATAGGCACGGGAGTCGCATAACCCCCTGGATTAGGAGGGGGTAGCTCCTGCATGGGCAGTGCCAACTGACATTACCCACCCCGGTGGGGGGGGTGCCGAGTATGCCTTGCGACTTAAACCACTGCAAGACTCTGCGGCGAAGTCCGGGGTTTTAGTTCACTCGGTCACTTGGCGGTTATAAAAAAAAAGAAATTGCGGTGATAACAAAAATTAAAGTTTGCCGTTGTTGTTTACGATTATCAGTCCCCGTAAGGATGGTGAGGGTTATTAGTGTTGTCGTCGACGTCATCTAACGGGAGGCCCATGAAACATGCTGTTTCGACGGGGTCGGACCAAAGGGAAAAGGATGTTAGATGGGTGGGGTTGGTTGGGCATGCAAAGAGGTGGTCAGTGTCATGCGGAGCCTCGTTGCATGCAGGACATACTTTAGGTATGTTAGAGTCTATTCTCGATAAATAGGAGTTTAGCCTGCTACAATATCCAGAACGAAGTTGCGCAAGGGTCACTCGCGTTTCTCGCGGCAAATCGAGCTCTTCGTCTACAATGGGTGGTGGTTTGACTCCTAGTACGCCATTCACGGCAAGGGAGTCGGTGAAGGTGTTGATGGCTCCACTGTGAATGGCGGTAGTGCCTGTCGAAAGTCTGTTGCGTCCGAGGTCCTGTCGGCGTATTGTACGATGTCGTCGACGTGGTCAAGGAATGACCTCTTGATGCTCCTAGGAGGCGGTTCCGCTCCAAGCAGATAACAGCAAGGATGATTTCTACGAAAGCATCCTAACAGGAACTGCTTGGAGAGGAGGTCATTATGGTCCTTAACTGGGAGCATAAGCGTCTCACTATGTAGGTGTTCGATGGGAGACATCAGGAGGCATCCTGTCGTGGTCTGGACTGCTGTATTCTGGCAGGTCTGGAGTTTCCTCATCTGCGTGCCACTGCATCCAGGCGACCATATGGGTGTTGCGTAGTTAAGGAACGGCCGGCCGATTGCCTTTTAAGTTACCAACAATGTTTCTTTGTCTTTTCCCCATGTGCTGCCGGCTAGCGACTTGAGGATTTTGTTGCTGCTCTGTACTTTGGCGATAATCGCGGTCGTATGGGGAGAGAAAGAGCATAGACTCTCGAAGGTGACACCTAAAATCTTAAGGTTATTGACAGTCGGAATTTTGACACCGTCGACTGCAATATTAAGTTCCAGTCTATACTCCTTCGTCCAGTTCGTGAATATGGTCGCTCTGGATTTGGTGGGGAAAAGTTGGAGGTTCCGTGCAGGGAGGAAACGAGGTCGGTGAGGTAGTTGTTTACCTTCGAATACATGCCATCGATTCCATTGCCCCACGTCAATATCGTCTTGTGGTTGCAGGAGTTTCGAGATGTAGAAGTTAAACAGTAGCGGAGAGAGGACACCACCCTGCGGAACCCCCTGTTTAATTCTTCTCAGTTTAGATGTTGCACCTCGAAATAGTACGGATGACTGACGACCGTTCAGATAGTTCATGGTCCAGTTCTTGAGCCCTGGTGGAAGCGTGGTTTTCTCAATGTCCTGCAGTAGCGTTGTGTGGTTGACCATGTCAAAAACTCTTGACAGGTCCAACGCTAAGAGAATCTTTCTCTCACAGGGTGGTTTTTGATTGAGGCCACGAATTATCGGAGCGTCTATTACGCTAAGTGCTGTGGTAGTACTGTGCAGTTTTCGGAATCCATGCTGGTGGCTGGCTAGGCCAGTGGTGAACGAAGGTCGGGAGTAAAAAGGCCTCAAGTGTCTTCACTGCTGGTGAGAGGAGAGTTATCGGTCGATAAGATTCCCCTTTGTTTGCGGGTTTCCCAGGGTTCAGTAGTGGGACCATTCTTCCGACTTTCCACGCATCGGGTATTTGAAGAGTGGTCAGCGACAGGTTGAGGACCTTGGTGAGATATCTTACTCCCGTCGAGCCTAGATGCTTTAGMATTAGCATGTTGATTCCATCAGGGCCAATGGATTTGGAGGATTTTGCTTTGTTGATGACACCCTGAACCTCCTCATCGGTGAAAGTAAGTGGCGCGCTGTCGTTTGGCATTTTGCGCAACCGTCGGTTAACACATCGTTTAGCTTTGTCTACCGGAGGGTGCAGTGTAAACTGCCGGCTAAAATAGCTCGCGCACTTCTTCGGGTCCGAAGAGGCGTGACCATTGAATTGAACTTCAACT